AAGTTAGTTTCCAAAGGAGGGACTTGTTCGTTTCCTTCAGCTCTTCTAGCTGTTGTTGCTGAACTATTTCTTCCATGTCTGGTTGTATCTGAACTTCTTCCTGTGGAGTTTCTTGTACCTCATCTGCTGGCATTTCATATATTCCGAGACCGTTTTTAAAAAGTTCCCTATCTAAGTCATCCGGACTCATAAACCTTTTCTTTTTCGTTCCGTCTCTATTTTTACTGCGTTTCATGAAGATAGTTGAATTATCATTTAGCTCTGACACCAAATATCTCGGAGTAAATTCATCCATGTCATTTGGATGATATGCTATTAAATCATATCCCTTAGCAAGCTTGTATTTTCCAGGTTTGAAATTATATCCCATTTGGTGCTGAACCATAAAGCTAAATAGGTTCGGGTCAGTATTTCCTTCCTTGAACTTTCTAATAGCTTCTTTATATCTGTCACTAAAGTCAAGAGTATCTGGGTAACCATAGTCTTCCTTAAGCATTTTTAAGAATTCTTGGTTTCCTTGTTCTCTATCTTTTATGTCCTTGCTCTGTTTGTGGTTGGTGCAGTGTTTTGAACTGTTGTTGTGGTGCAGTGTTTTGAACTGTTGGTTGTGGTGCAGTGTTTTGAACTGTTGGTTGTTGTGCAGTGTTTTGAACTGTTGGTTGTTGTGTTGGTTGTTGTGTTGGTTTTTGGTGCATGCCTGTGTCTGTGTCCATGTGACGATGTAAATGTTTTAGGTAGTCCTGGTGGCAGGTGTTCTCTTGGAGGGTTTGGTGGTATATAAGTTCCACCAACTGGCACATATGTTCATCTGCAGCATAATGTCCTACCTGACTTTTCGTTTTAAGAAAGCATTTACTAGGTCTGTTTTGGTCTGTTGTAACTCTTTTTCTTGACTTTCCACAACAGTTGCTCTAACGGCGTCATAGGCACTTTGAACTGCCTGTCTCGTTGCTGCATCTGTTATTTTCGTCTATATTTTGTGCTACTTCTCTTAAACTCGTTGTTCGAAACCTTCAGACTTCAGTTTCTTTCCAGATGAGAAGTCGTTCACTAGTTTTCACCTTACTATGAAGAGCTTCGAAGGCGTTCTTAAAGTCAGCATTCATTAAAGCTTCATTTGAACTGTCTTCATCCGCTTGTATTTTTGTCCTTATTGACCCTATAAGTTGGGCTGCTTTGGCGTTGGCTTGGGCATCTAAACCAGTCATTATTAGTTTTATATATTTCTGCGCTTTTCATTGCCTTTTGCATGGCTGCGGTCGTTATTTTTACTTTCTTGTGCTAAGTTTTCATACTGTACGGTTTGGTTTTGCAACTGTAAAAGTTTTTCTGCCTTTACATTTGCTTCAACTTCTTTTTTATACTCATCGCTATCCATATATGTCTTCAGGGCTTTTTGTTTTATTTCTTCATCTTTCAGTACTTTATATTGAGTAGTATGGTTTTTCAAATTTATAACATCTTGTTCCATTTTTGCTACTTCTGCTGCTTTTTCTGACACTTTTTTCGCATATTCCTCTGTACTTAGTTCTTTCAGTTGTTCTTCTTTCTTCTTTTTCTCTACGTTTAACTCATTGAGTTTCTTTGTGTGTCTGTCATATTCTAGTTTTTTCGTTTTCACTTATTTGTTTCTGTATGTCTATGTTTGACTTTTTGACATCTGTTATTTGATTTTTGAGTGAACTCAAATTCATTTGACTTTGAGGGTTATAAGCTGTTCCGTCTGCAGCTCCACCATAGCCTGCCATTTTCGCTAAAAGTGCCGCTCTTAAACCTCCACTCTGTGCACCAATAACTCGGTTTAAAAGCATAGGGTTGCTTGACATTTGTTGCAACATAGTGGGGTCATTCATCATTTGTTGTTGCAACTGTTGTTGTGGTGTCAGTTTTACTATTGGATGTTTCAGTGCTCTCTTCCTCTTACGTATATTCTTACGTAGCTTACGTGGCATTTTAAGTGAAGTTAAAAAGCGGTTTTTGACAGATGTTTATATGACACTTTTTGTTCAGCACAAAAAACTACTCGGTCAAAGTGTTGTCAGTTTTGTAAAATAACCGTCCTATCTCATTCTATAAGGGAGAAAAGGCTTCTCAAAGTACTTCCTTGGAACGCCTGTAACTTTTCCTGTAGCGACGATAGACCCTTATTTGTCCGGACAAAGTTATACTAAACATCTTCAGGGCTAGAGGGCACGAAGTGCCTGGAGGCCCCACTACCTTTTTTTTTTTTTTTATTTACACTGCAATCCAATTCAACTATCGTTCTGTCGAGCTATATTTTAAAATTATTGAAAGATTTGATAAAGAATATTCAGAAACCAAGAACATGATTTCAAAAGTTTTTAAAAGTAATCATTTCAATATACAATACAATTGTAACGAAAATGCAGTTCGGATTAGTCTCAATAAATTCTTATTTCCGAAAAATGATCTTATAAAAAATATCATTATGAATGATCAAATTGATAATTTTAAAGAATATATTATGGAAAATGAAATCAGTAATACCATAATAAGAATACCGGACTTTGCTGAGCTATCACCAATTAAAGCTTGTTGTTATTTTGGTTCTGTTAACATTTTTTATTTCCTCATTTCAAATCTCCAAACTTCAATAACTCACGATTGCCTTGTTTATTCTATCATCGGTGGTAACGTCGATATTATCAATAAATGCATGGAAAGTAATAAAATAGACAAGAAATGCTTAAACTACATTGTTTCAAGTCAAGTAGTAGGATAGGGCGGGGTGTGTGACTTTTTTTGTAAACGTAAGAATTCATACAATATCGAGCGATTTTGTATCATTTTTTTAACATATTAATTTTAAATTAAAGTTATTTTTTTATTCTTACATAAATGACCCAACAAGTAAAACCAGATAAAATAGATTATCGAATTTTAGAGGATGGTGTTCCTGTTTATATTCAAAGATTTAAAGGGAAGCAATATTATAGAATTGTTAATCCTGAATACATAAAACATTTATTTAAAAAGGAAGACTGTGAATTATTAAACGTTAATGAATATGAAACCAATAAATCAAAACTGAGATATAAATATATTGGAAGTGATGAAAGATGCAAAAATAAAGATAAAGTTTATTCAGTTTCATATAATGAATGGAAAACCAATAAGATAAGAAAACATTTAGGAGATTATGGGAAATGTTCTGAATTCTTTAAATCTAGTATATACGAGAGAGTAAAAGAAATTAGAAATAATTATTTTCATGAATAAAAAATAAACTTCTTACGAAAAATTAAAACTTAGTTATGTTTATTATTTTATTTTTTTAATTCGTAAGAAAGCGCGACATTATTAAATAAATTAGTAATAAATATTTATATACTAAACACATTAAAAAATTAACATTAATTTTAAAATAATTTATTTTTTATCTTTTATAAAAGAAGCTATATATAGATGATGTCAGATATTCCGCGATTAATTAAACATTGTTTAAATCCTGAATGGGTTAAACTTCAATTTAAAAATGAAGATTGTGAATTAATTAATGAATATGAAAGCCAAAATAAGCTAATGAGGTATAAATATAATGATAAAGAATATTTAATTTCATGGAATCAATGGAGTCATAAACTTTAAAAAGAATTTGATGAGTTCAACATTAGAACTTTAAGAAACTAATGATTATTTGAATTTATGAAATCAATTATTTGATTCATTCTTTCTTCAATCTCTTCTATTCTTTTTTGTTAAATCATCAATTTTCATTAATGAGGTGATTCTTGATTGAGGAATAGATTTCAAACTAACCACCCCTTTTATTTTTGAAATTTTGAATCCATCAACTTTAAACATTTTATTCAATTTACATGTTGTCAATTCTTCAAATAATTTTTTATTATTAGCATAATAGTCATTAAATTCTTCAACAGATGAAAAAATTTTTATTTCAGTAATTGGTTTAACAACGTTTATTTTTTGTTGAACATTTTCACTTTCATTTATTTCTTCCTCCTCTGTTTCATTTATTTTTAAAATCGGTTTCATTTATCATTAAATAAAAATTAGAATATAAGTGATGAAATATATTTTTTAATTAATATTAAATCAGAAATGGCGGCAGGATTCTTAAAAAAATTATGGGATGGAATTAAGAAAGCTGGGTTGGGTTCATAAAAAGATTATTAAACCCGTTGCAAACTTTTTGGCACCAGTAGCGAAAACGGCAGGAACTATCATAGGTGGAGTATTAGGTACTAAAGCAGGTAATCCGGCGATGGGAGCACAAGCAGGTAACGCATTGGTGGAATTGCTGAAGGAATACTTAATAAAATAGGGGTAGATAGTGGAAAAATAAATAAATATTATTTTTATCTTAGTATCGGTTGTAGTCTTTGATAAACTTTTTCTCCTTTATTTAAAACTTCTCTTATTGGGGCAGCTTTTGGTGTTATTGATTCAGCAACGTCACTAATTGCTTCTTTATTCTTAAATATCCAATTTGCTCCCTTCTTCAATGTTTCCCAAACTTTATGCGCTCCTCTTTTTACTTTATCCCACAGTTTCTTAAATATACCTGCAGCCATAGTTGATTATTTCATTAAAATTAAAAATTCATTTTCATCTTTTAATTTTGATTTTTTATTTATTAATAAATGACGACTAACTATTTAGTGCCAAACACTAAACCGATTAATGGAAATGTGTTTCATTCATTCGAAAAGATAAATGAAATATTCGCAAAGAATGACGGTAGAAGATATTATAGAGAACTTGAAAGTTCATGCTATGACTCTGATGCTCCATATTTTTGATGATAAACAAACTCATTTAAGAATTACAAAATCCGGCTCATGATGTGAACCAATTAGGTGACACATATATTAAACGCAAAGTTAAAGCAACTCTAGTTTCAAATAAAGCTTTCACATGTGATGCCGCTTTTAAATGCATGCGTTTATTCGTTGGTTACAAATCATCAAATCAAAGCTTTAAACAATTAGAAGTAGAAACCGAAAGAGGTGATGCCGGTTATCTTCAGATGGATTGCGCCCGTGAATCTTTCGCATTTGCAACATATAAACCAAAATCAGAAAGGAAAGTTAAAAAGTTTGTTCATTCGTTATATAATAATGTTCAAAAATATGATAACTCAGTATGTGGTAAATATATTGACCCTTCAGAAGTTTTCAAGAAGCAAATGAAGAAGTTGATGTCACTTTTGATATGATTATTCCGGTAAATGATTTGTTAGCATTTCAGGCGTTCGATGATTATCCTAAATCATTTGGTGATATCATTCTTAAATATTATGTTTTCAGGGATACTTTAGTATTTTGTCAGGTTGACCCGTTAAGAGTTGCTGATTTACAAAATTACGTTTATGAAAAGATAACTGATGAAAATTATGAAAAGATTATGAATCATGTTTATAAATATGATCGCAAATTCCAACAAATCGGACTTCCTGCCAAATTAATTACAAGCTTAGCCGCTACATCTGCTGACGCAACAGTTGATGACGTTATTATTTCATGCACAAAGATGGAAGTTTTAGAGGATAAATGCATTACACCAGGATACGGTTTAATTGAAGAATCAGTTAAAGCAATACCACGTTTATTCAGTAAGGAAGATCCATTCATGATTCCAGCTCAACATATTGACGTTCGTTCACTAAATGGAGGTTGCATCACTCCTGAAGGTATTAGCTCAGATTTCTCATACGCTCTTCATAATGTTACAGATGTTGTGTTAACATTTCCGAAGAATGCAATGCAAAGAACAGTTTTAGAAAATCCAATGCTTCGAGGTCTTCAGGTCACTATAGATTCCAGAAACTTCCCCGATCAAGCGATGACCACAGTGGGCGACATATTCTTTACACGTATGCTTCAAGCTTCTGATTTAGATGGAGTGAATGAATGCACAGAAGAATACGAGGACTCATTAACTAGACCACTGAATGATGATAATGGCACGCCATTAGCTAGAACATGGAAAGACCAAACTTCATTCTTATGCACTATTCCAGTTCAACGTGATGGAGCGGGTATATTCTTTGATGGATTAGAAACTTTCAACTCACAAGTTACAGTACAAGTGAAAGCTTATCCAATCATTCAGGGTGAAAATGACACTTACTGTTCAAAGGTGACAAATCCTCCTCAGGTTTGGTTTACTAGGACTACATATTGGACATGGACACCGGATGAAGGTTTGAAATATCATCCAACAGGTACACCACCACAGTATAGAAGTTCATATGATGAAATATTGATGAATAGAAATGTTTAAAATTATAAATTTATTTTTGATTAAATGGATTTAAATTCATCCACCCCTTATGAAGAATTAGCAGGAGTATATAATACATACGTAGATGATATGATTAATGAAGCATTGAGTGATAATAGAAATGCTCTATCTAAGGAAAAATTAATGAAAATTCCATATTCTGAATGTTACTTAAATTCAATCACTGCAGCAATTGGTAAACAAAATAAAGGTAAAACATTAACGATATTAAAACAAATTATCATTATTGCTAACACTTCCCCCTATTCACATGTGTTAATTTATATCAACCGTTCAGGTTCACCTTCAGATGATACATTTGAATCTTTAAAGCATTTAATCAAAATTCCAATTATTTATTTATCACAAGAAGAAGCAGAAGATTATTTAAAAAACTTTTTAATGTATAAAGAATTATATAATACAATCAAGAAGCAAGGATTAGAGGATAAAATTATTGATAAACAACGGGATGAATTATTTGAAACACTTTCTATTTCAAATTTTGATAGAGAATTTTTGCATTCACTCATTTTTCTAGATGATGCAGTGAAATCAAAACTAATAACAAATGAGAAATCATATTTTAATCAGTTATTAACTCAATGTCGACACATTCAGTGTTCATTCTTTATGGCTGTTCAATATTTCAAAGCATTAAGCACAAACATTAAATCAAATCTATCAACACTTTTCATTTTCAGTGGGTTTAGTCGTCAACAGTTGAACGTTATGCTTTATCAAGTGAATTTACCAATGAGCATTAATGAACTTTACACACAATATCAGCAATTAGGTGAACATGGAAAAATAATAGTTGATTTAAATAAAGGAAGTGTTAAATTTGATTAACTTTTTATAATTAATTTTTATTTTTTATTTATAATTAAACATGACAGAAATAGCAAATCTTCTACAGGTTCCATTAAAACAAGGAACAAACAAAAAGGGTGCATATAATAGAACTATGAAAGTTCCTGATGGAATGAAAGAATTAGTTCATATTGTTGCTGGTCTTCAAAAAGATGTTAAACAAATGAGAAACGTTTTAACATTACCAGAAGCTCAAGCATATGCCAAACGTCAAGGTCCAAATTGGGAAGCACACGAAGCAGACATTACGGGTCCAAATGGAAAACCTGATGGTATAAATGAAGTTTTCGTTACTGATGGTCAAGGTAATATTAAAGTCATAAATGGTTATAAATTAACTATAACTGATTATCCTAAACGTAAAGCATATAATGAACGTTATCCTATGCAATTTGATGAAAATGGAAAAGCTGTTAAACAATACATTGGAGAAGGTGAAAATGGTCCAATTAATTCATACCGTCATAATCCATATTCTTATTTCAATGAAGAATTAAATGCTATTGAAGAGGGACCGGATGGATTACCACGATATTCTAACCAGTTTGATGGTCAATATGCAAATATTAGACCTGAAATTTCAGCTAAGAAATTCTTTAAAGTTGCTTTATTCGATCCAGTTTTCGCAAATGTTAAAGATGAACTTAAACAGCAATTCCAACCAATTATAGTAGCAAGAATTGCATCAGGTGCTTTATCTCAAGCATTCAAAGATTTAATTAAGAAACCATTATATCAGCAACGGGTTTAACTTATGATTTAGTTAAGGAATCAGATAAAAGAAAATTTGAGAAATCAGATGATTATAAGAATGCAATTAATGAATATATTCGGTCTATTAATTCGATGAAACAGCTAAAAATCAACTTCATGAACAAATACAGGGAATAATAGATTCAAAAGTTCCAGCAAAATAAAAGTTTAAATATATTTTTTTATTCGATATAAATGAGAAGACGTTTCACTAGTCAAAAGAACACTAACGCAAAAGCAGAGATTACGGTTGGTTATAACGTAAATGATGATAAATCACGAATTATTCAAAATGTTAAAGTTAATGTTAGCCCCGAATTAACAAGGTCAGCAACTCAACCAAATTTATTAACTCGTGACTTACCGAAGAAAGAGGAGGAGCAAAATAAAGAAGATGGAGACCCAATCATTTTATCTGAACCCGGTAAAGAACCTGTTGAAATTCCCACTTATCCAACATACCCCCGCCTCTTTCATCAAACATCAGAACCCATATAAAATAGACATTAATTCTGAATTAATGAAAATTTACCGTGATATAATAATTAATAATTATGATTCAATAATAAATTTAATTGATCAATCCGGTTTAATTATTTTACCTTATGAATCATTAATTCACATTATCGCCATTCTTTGTGATGTTCAAGATTCAACGTTAAGATTCAATTTTTCATAGATGATGAGGTTTCATGCTGCGGAACAGTTGCAAAAATAAATCCTATAAAGGATATTAGCACAATTAAGATATCAAAGAACGGAACAACAACTGAACTTCATTTAACATATAATGATATTTATAATAAAATAGTTGATGAATATAAAATATCACTTGAAAAATTCTTTGTTTAAGGCTATTTAATATTCAAGCATTAACATTATCGATATAATAATCCTTTGAATCATAATCGATAATAATTGACCTTTCACCAGTTTTCTATCGTTTGTTTTATTTCTTTTTGTTCCCCACTATCCGGATCGGTCATTGTAATTGTTTTTGTTATAGTATCAGCTTTATCTTTAACTTCAATCTTTTTTCCATCGGGATATTTAAACCAAAATTCCAAAATTCGATATTGTCAATCTGTTCATATTTTAATCTATCAATTACATTTTTAATACCATCTGAAAATCTTATGAAATGGTCATTATATGGGTTTGATTGAACTAAATTTGAATGAAGTGAAAATAACCTGTTGATGAATATGACATTGACTCATATTTCTGAAAACACTAAAATTTATAACATGAATGAATTTCTTATTCGTTGAATTTATGAATTCTTGAGGTAATCTTATTCTAGTTTTATTTATCACCGGAAAATAACGCTTTACCATATTTTTAATCGTAATAAAAGTGTCAATTATCAATATTATTTCGAATAATAACTGTGAATTAAATTTAACAGTTAGCGGAATTATAATGTTACTCTCGTTTCTGTGAGTGGTAAATTTAATCCCATTCTTTTAGACCCTTCAGATTATATATCATTTATTAAAGATGACCATGAAAAACGTATGATATGTATATAAATAATGTGATAGCGAAATGGGATATTAACATGATTTTAAGTTATTTAAATGAATCATTTATCGTAGTATGAAGAAAATTTTAAATCAAAACCTGATAAACTTTTTGAACTTGATGAAATAAATAACCTTATTTAAATTCCCGCTGAAAATTAAATTTTGTACTCCTCATCTTCGTTTCATTGTTGGGAATATTAAATTTTGAAAAAGATGTTGGGGATGTTTTGTATTCTGACACCGGTTCCAATTTCATTTTAATCAAATGTGATAAAGTTAATACCCCAATGAGATTTTCACATCAAACATTAGACCCTAACTCTTACCCATCAATACAAAACTTTATCCATCAACTAAACACATTTTCTTTATCATATCCGTTTCAATTATCCGGGAATTCATTTATTCTTCATTCAAAAGATTTATCAAATATTAAATTTAGAATAACTGACCTATTTGATTGTGATTTAGAATTTATGAATGAAATATTATGGCAATTTCAAATAGAGAAAATAGCTGATGAGATAACGGATTAAATATTTATTTTTAAATCATAATAAATGATTAAACCACAACAACTTAAGGCGCAAAGCACCCAGGTCCTTCAGACCATTACATACGCCATATATGCATATAATTCAAAGACGGCAGAACAAACGCAAAGGTTGAAATATGGAGATTTGGAGATAGTATTGAAAAATGACCATTTCGAATTCGTTTGCAAGGGTGGTGCAGTGATATCAAATATAAAAGAAATTTTATTTATGAATTCTAAAATTAAAGGTATAACGGATGATATAACATCAATTCCACCAGAAGAACGAGATATTACGCATTAAATGCATTTCCTAAAGTTTGAGATTGGAAGATTTAATTTAAATGAGGAATTCATAGAAGGTTTCCTAAATGACATAATGAAGAGGGTGGATAAGGAATATGTGGATAGTGAGTTAAATAAGAAGGCAAATTTGGTTTATGTTGATGAAAAAGATAATGAAATTAAGAAAAGGTTGAATGGTATCATGAATGGACATTTGAGACTTTTAAAGTTAAAGCTGATACAGAATGGGTTTCAGGATGTTTAGATCTTAAAGCAGATAAAACTTATGTTGATGAAAATTATGCAAAGAAGTCGGAAGTAAATGATGTGATTACAAGCATGAAAAATGAAATACTTCAAACATTATATCCTGTTGGTTCTATTTATACGTCAATGAACTCAACAAATCCATCAACAGTTTTAGTTTTGGTATGTGGAAGCAGATTGTAGATAAATTCTTATACTGTGCTAGATATTCAAAGCAAACAGGAGGTTCGAAGAAAATTAAAGAAGCAAACCTTCCACCACACACTCATACAGGAACTACAAACACAACAGGTAATCATTCACATTCAATAACAAAAAGAGGTTATACAAATCTTGCAGCGGGTTCGGATAGACAGGGAATGAATAGATCTGATATCACAACTGACCCAGTAGATTCAAGCACAGGTATTTTCTGTGGAACCGCAGGAAATCATTCACACACTTTCACAACAAATCCAACAGGCTTGGGTAAAGATTATATGCCACCATTTGTGACTGTATTCGCATGGTACCGCGTTCAATAAACACACTTGAGCCTACTTTGCAGGCTTACCGAATGAACTAAATATATTTTATGTCTGTAATTAATTAGGTAATGAAGTAATGGATGAACTGCAGAAATAAATGTTTACGTTAAGTGACTCAAAGAGTCCGGAGACAAAGTCTCATGTTTTTAGGTTATTCAATAATTAATTATTTTTGAAGAACTGAAGGTGTCACTATGTCACCATGTCACCAGGTTATTTAACTTCTCTGAAAAAATGAGACAACATGACATTTTGACAACATTTACGAAAATTTGATGCAGTACAAAAATAAAGTTAGTTTTAAAATTATTTTATTTATTTATTTTGTATGTAAGAACAGTAATGTCGGTCGAAGCAAAAACATTCACTAACAAATCTAATGGTGAAACATTCACAAAAGGCACTTATAACGGTATTGAAGTCTTACGTAGAGACAAGGATGGTTACATTAATGCAACAAATATGTGTCAGCAGTTTAGGAAAGACTTTAGAAAGTTGTTGGAAAATAAGTCCTGGGAAGAGTATTATAAGGCATTTTGTGAAGAATATAGCAACCGCCGGAATTCAGACTGTTGCTTTTTATACAAAATTCATGCAGGAATTCCTGATGAAATCAAACAGGTTAGAGGAACGTATGTAGACCCAGGACTTATAAACTATATAGCAATGTGGGCTTCTCCAAAATATTGCATAGCAGTTGGAAAAATTATGGACTCCATAGACAAGAAAGTTCATGAGAAATTAGATGAAGAAGAACTCGAAGATACAGTAGAGAATGCTAAACCTTTGTTCGAACAAGAAGTTAGAAAAATGCGCGAAAAACAATTAGAACATGAACGTGAGATATATTATGGTTATAGAGATTCTCCATTCGAACTAGACCAATGGGAACAAGAAAATTTAAAGAGAGAATTTAGAGAATATGAACTCGCTAAGATAGCATTAGAAGCTGCAGAAAAGAAGTTAAAAGCTTGGGGTCGTTTTGTACAAAAATATTGTGAGTAAATGAACCATTTATTTTTGTCATAAAGACGCAACGTGGCGGGGCATAGCCCATGACCCAAAAATATATTTTATCGTTAAGTGACTCAAAGAGTCCGGAGACAAAGTCTCATGTTTCAGGTTATTCAATAATTAATTATTTTTGAAGAACTGAAGGTGTCACCACGTCACCATGTGTCACCGGGTTAATTAACTTCTCTGAAAAAATGAGACAACATGACATTTTGACAACAGGTACGAAAGGAGGAAGGCATTTATGAATTATTTTTGAAGAACTGAAGGTGTCACCACGTCACCATGTGTCACCAGGTTAATTAACTTCTTTTAAAAAGTGTGACAACATGACATTTAGACAACACAGCAGGATTAATGCAAAAATAAATTCCAATCATACTTTATACTGCCTCATTTACAGGTATTTCATCATCAGGAAATGAATCCTCATTATCGTTTGGTTCAACCTGTTTATATAATCCTTTCATTTCTTCTTTCAAAACATAACACCATGTTTGTTTACCATCTATTCTTCTCTGTTTCCTATCACATTTATCCTTAATGCTCATTTGGAAATTCTTGTCTTTCATGTCTGATGGTTTGCAGAATAGAGCATTTTTACACGTCATACCCGCACACAATTCATCATAATGTGTATTTATCCATACATCTAAAGGATTTGTTGATAATTCAATTAAATCTTGTTTGGCTTCGGTCATCGGTATGATTCGTACATTAAATGATGAAAGGTCGTAATTGATAAAATACGTCAGTAAATTATCATAAAATTCCTTTGTGCATGAATCCATTAAATTCTTGAAATAATCAAATTGACCCTTAAATTTACCATTAACTCTTAAAACTACGTATCTTCTGTCTCCAACTTCAATTTTGACAGGGTAAACGTTATTAGTTACGAAAATGAAGTTTGCAACGTTCTGAGCAGTTCTTCTGGGTTGATTCTTTTCATTAATTCTTATCTCATTATCCGTTATAATTGATTTCAAAGCGTTGAAGTTTGCGAGTCTGTCTTCACCAACATTCTTGAGTTCATTAAGTACAAGAAACATTTTATTTTCAACAACTGAATTGAAATTACCCGTTAGCTCACCTATTTCAGTAATGTTTTTACATGAATAACCAGCAAGGAGTTCAGAAATAATGTCTGTAAATCTGTTTTTACCTGTTCCCTGAAGTCCTTTCAAAATAATTGCTGTTTCATTCTTGATTCCAGGATGTTGAATCATTGATGCAATCCAGCCGAGAAGGTATTTATACACTTCATCGTTATTATCACATATGGCTTCTTTAATGAAATTCATAAACATCTCAATTTTTGAGTAATCAGGCTTTTCGAGAACGTTGTATTTATAACATTGAAACGTTGAGAAAACATCTGGGGAATCAGATTTAAAGCAAACACCCTTAACGGTTAATGAGGATAATTGATTTAATAGTACGTCCCATGCTGTTATGGTTTTACCTTCTTCTTTAAATAATTTAATCATTTTGAGTGACTCTTTCATGTTTGATTGAAGAACGAATGATATTTGATTCATTTTGTCGTGTATGTTGTAATCTTTCTGAATGAAGTATTTGTTTCCACAATCTACAAAACGGATTACACGTGATAAATCCTCAATTACTTCAGAACTGTTTTTATACTGATGATTTTCAGCCTTGCGTCTAATATCTGTTATCAAAAACGAGTCATCAAGTTTTATATCAAATGTTATTTTTGGCTTACGTAATAAAGGTAAAACATATTCATCATAATATTCCTTTTGGTATAGTTTTAGAATCTTCACTAAAACAAATGGAGAAGTCATTAAATGTGCATATCTACTACGTGCTTTTTCAAAATTACTTTTTGCATTTTCTGTTAAATTGCAGAAGTTATAAACGTTATCGTATGCTTCATTAATCAAATGATTAGGTAACGAATTAATAGCTTGAAACAGTGTGAATAATGTAACTTCTTTTTCTAAATTCATGTTTCCACCGTCATTATGTACTTCAAAATCACTGATACCATCAACTATGCTTTGAGCTAGTTTATCGTCAATGTTTACATCTTTGTTTTCATTCATGATAGTCTTTATTTCTTCGTTCTTTTGTTCAACTCTTACCTTAATATTCAAATCATTTAATATATCATTCACTGTTCTGGTTAATGTTGAATCATAACTTCCACGAATGAATGAGTATGTATTGATTGGTTCTGTTGCATTCTTGCGAACTCTTGAATCAGCCATAACCACTAAAGAACGTTTTGAATCATCCATAGAAGTCATTATGTCAATATCATAATCATTGCAGGAATAACATTTAATCATTCTGTTCGAAACTGAATAGAAGAAATTAGTGTTGCAATAAATGTGAAGACCTCCTGAAGCGGTTTTAACGATAACATCTTTATCCGAAAGTTTTGATAAAATGTCTTTTCTAACTGTTTCTTTAAGTTCATCATTGTATGATTTATTGATATCAACATCTATAATCGTTAAATTTGAAATTTTATTTACTAATAAAGCCATACCAGTTTTCCTTCCTCTTCCTCCATCGTGTTTGAGGTAGTTATGTAAATCAATCTTGTTTTCACCAATTCTTTCGTTGAGGGTTTTAGTTTCTGCCACAACTAATTCCTCAGCTAATGAATCAATAACTTTTTCATCAGAAATGATATAGTTGCTGTTGTTGTTTGTTGCTGTCATTTATATAGGAATAAAAAAATAAAAATAATTTTAAAACTAACTTTATTTTTGGACTGCATCATATTTCCCCGACTGTTGTCAAAATGTCATGTTGTCTCATTTTTTCAGAGAAGTTAAATAACCTGGTGACATGGTGACATAGTGACACCTTCAGTTCTTCAAAAATAAATTTTCTTATCATTCAAATTAACTAAAGATGAACTTAATAAAATGATGATAAAATAACTGATAACAAAATTTTATTTTTATATAAATGAATACCCCACAAGCTCAAAATTTACCACGAATCATAACAAGGGAGGAAACGATAAAAATGATGCGAGAACTTGCTAAAAATAACAAACCACTAAAACTGAGAAAATGTGGTTATGCAGTAATGATGGAAAGAAGAACCCAGAAGGGTTCGGGAAGAAAAATAAAAATTAAATTTGGATAGAGTTTAAAAATTCATCTTTATTAAATTCATCTCTTCCAATCAATTTATTTATTCTATTAAATTCTTTTATTTTTGCTTCACCCAGTTTAAGGATTGAACGGTAAGTTTCTAATTTTTCGATTATTTCTTTCCTCTCTTCATCGTTTTCAATTCCATTAGTTTTATGGGCATCAACCCCACCGCATTGCGACTTCTTTTTGTAATAGCATATTTTTGATTTAATTCTGTTTAGTTTCTTTTTATATTCATTGTCTGGACTCTTGACTGCTTTGTTGTCACTCATTTCTTACGAAATAAAAAAAATTAAATATTATTTAAATATAATGGAGTAATAAAATAAATCGGAATTTCTATTAATTTATTGTCAACTTCAACTAATACATTACCGTTAATATATCTAACAAATTCAGCTATTGTGTCAAATCTTCGTCTTCTTTTTGTCATTGATTTATTAGTTTTTCCATAATCGAGATGAATCAAAACTTTATCCCCTTGTTTAAAATTCATGAGCCCCGAATTAATTTGTTCACGTTTAACATCATTCAACCTTTCCATTTGCTTTCTAATATATTCCCATTCTTTTGAAATATCATTTTTCATTTCCACTGGTTTCATGTTTATAGTTCTATGCCATGTATTATTGTAATAATATACTAACTGCTGTATGATGGAGTCATGATTTCCATCCCAGTATATCTGACCGTTAACCCCTAACGCATCTCTAAGAGTTCTCATTACCGCATCAACTATTTTATTATGAAACGTATATGGAGAGGATGAAAAGAAAAAATTAATTTGTGGGAAATAATGAGTCATAGTTGCCTGAAATCCTTTTATCACCATCACCCCTTATATTATCTACTCTTTCATGATCTAGTAAGTATTGAATAGCTCTTCTTGTTTCCTGTTCTGTTTTCCCTTTCACTGGAATGCAATATAAATATCTAGTGTTAATGTTAATGGCAAATAAATAAGTAACTTTTCCTTTTGAATATTCTAAATGATCGATTTCGTATGAATATGGATATGGAGCAAATGAAGGGCGACTAAATTTTTCCTTTAACGGTTGAATTTTCGGGTCAATTGGTTTATTTAATATCTTGAAATCCTTTTTAAAATTTTTGCTTCTTTAATGTTTGAAATGGATATAATAAAGTGAATGATGAAGGATTAACTGAAGGAGGAGGAGGTACTGTCGTTGGAGGTTTTGGTATTGCAAGTGGTTTAATTTTATCTGCTTTGATTTTGATGATGAAGTTTTGGAATTCATTCCCCCCTTCATTAATTCTGGATGTATTCTATTCATTTGTTTTAAAATATGCTGTATATAAAGGTTGATATACTTTCCCGCTTCGAGTTTATGTTGAAGGATGAATTCCAAAAAGTTGATCTTCATTTAAAAGTCGGGCTGAATATGGTTTAACTAATGAATCATAAATTAAAGCTTGTGCATCATTTATGGTCTGAAGGACCTGGGCGTTTTGTTCCTTTAGCTGTTGAACATTTGCTACTTTAGACCTCGGCTTTGGTTTTTGTGGCTCAGGATTATATAAATTATATAATTCATCAATATCTTCTTCTGTTAATACTTTATTTTGAAATCTTTCAACTGTTTAAGTTGTGATTTAGTTTTCCCTTTGTATATTCATTATTTTTAATTTTGTCTTTAATTTCAGAAATTATTTATTATGATATTTCAAAATTTCATTTTTATAATATGGATAATAATATTCCATATCATCACCCGTTATATTATTATTATATTTTTGGAGATATGATTTTAATTCATAATAACTAAGAAAATTTTGATTAAGTACTAAATCATCAATTAAATTTTTTAAATCTGTGTTATCCATTTATATAAAAATAAAATAAATGTTTAAGGGTGCCCACCTCTTTGAATCATAGTATCAAAACCATTATTTACATATTGAATCACATCATTAACGGTTCCTTCTTCTAAAACGGTATCAAATGGTGGCGGTTGTTGTTGCTGTTGATGCTGTGATGGGATTTAAAAAATTCGTTGTGGTTGATTATTTGGAATCTGAAAGTTAAAACCATTTGGTATAAATCGATTTGGTTCCTTTTGTCTCTTCTGTGGCATTTCATTAAAAATAAAATTTTAAATTGTATTAAATAAATGGCATACAACATCCATTTTCACAACATACAGCCTTAGTGTGTGCTCCTGTTAATGCAGTCTTACCGATTGTTAAGCGAGTCATTGACCCGTTTTTAAGTTGTAAATTAATATTTTGACCATCAAATATCACTTTATCATTTATTATATCCAAATATTTTTTAGGTGTTAATTGCTTATTTTGTCTTAAACTAACACCCTTCATTTTTTGTGCAATCTTTTTAAAATCACCCCATCAATTGAACCGTTGAATGATGTATAACACTTAGGACATAAAGCAACCATGTTATCACCTTGTTTCTCAATTGCTAAACCCAATAATTTTTTCTCATGTGCTTTTTCTTCAGCTTTATTCTTTAATTTAGGTTTAAATTTCTCATCAAAACAGAAGAAATCAAATGGTGTGAATTTGAAAATGTTTTTATCATAAAATTTTTTATCGGTAACAATCGCCTGAAATGCTTGAGTGTTAGGAAGACTTGGATCGCCAGCGATTGCCCAATAAGATGAATCAGTATCACCTTCAATGAAATGAAAACGATTAACATTCATGCATTTATACATAAAATCATAAATGAAAACCAAATACCAGTATTTAGCATTATCTAAAGTGAAGAATGCCTCTTGTAAACATGTATCACATCTATAAAATCTATCTTTAAGCATCACTTGATATGTATCCTCACCTATTTCTCTTATGTTTTTAAACTTATTTGACATACATGCAACGCGTGCCCTCTGTGCATTCATTATTTTAGTCTTTGCGTAATTTTGTGTATTCATTGCATCGTAACCATATGATCCATTAAGTGAAATTTTGCAAAATAAACTTTTTCCTTTATTTCCTTCTAATTCAGCCTTTTGTCTTTCGTTCATAAATTTGTTCGCAAATTCATTAAAACAAGTATTTTTCGTAAATGTTAAAATTGATTGAATATCATCGATGATAAAATGAAATCTGTCTATTAGATACCAAAGATAATAAGAAGAAAATGGTTGATATTGGTTGTGTGTTGATGCTAATTGAGTTAATTTTCTCTGTTTCTGTTCAACTGGTAGATTGTTTGATTTCATGTAATTATACATAAAACTGCCAATTGTTTTTTCATCTGTGATAATATCTAAGTTTCTTATTATCGGTAAAAAGTTTATGTAATCATTAATGTATTTTTCATCAATGTGACCCTTTACTTCAGCCACGAATAAAGTATTTTTCTTCTTAATTATTCCCAGTGCTTTTGCTTTCTTTGTTGCTGTATCACAAATGATAACACCATTCAATCTTCCCGGCATATACATTTTATGGTCAGTATATTGAATGAAATCATGAGGATTAGATGAAAATGATGAAGGATATAATGAATTAAAGTCAACTCCAACGAAATGAGTCATAATGTTGGTGGTGTCCTCATTTGATACAGTTTTAGTTTCTGGATTATATGAAAGTTTATTAATGTGCGTGATTCCTTTAAGATTAACACGATGTTGAACATTTGATAGACCACCAGTAATTCCATTACGGAGAATGTGATAAGCTTCAACTGAATCTAAAGTCATTGGTAAATTATTTTTTAATGCATAATTTCTTAAATTGATTCTTAAACGTTGAACATCTTCATCTTTATTTGATTTTACGACATTGCAATAACAACACATTAACTGACAATTTTCTTTGGTATGTGGTTTTTCATTATCGATTCTATCCAATGTTGGTTTATTTGCATATGTAAACGCTTTACCACACATTTTGCATTTAGATGAAAGGATTAAATCGTGATAGTATTGAAAATCATCCATTGAAACATTATTTTTAGTATCCCTTTCTGCTTTTTCATCTTGTTTCTTATATGATTCAATTTTATATTTCCAATACTTTTTCGTTAATTCAAAATTGATTCTATCTCTTCCTCAGGATATTTTTCATTAGGATTAAAGTCTTTATATGCTAAAGCGTAACGAATCATTGATGCATTCGATGATAAAGAAAGATTATGAAGCATGTCAATTTTATAAACAAATGTTTCTTCAATAATTTTATCGATTGGGTCAATCATAATTTCAACATCTTTATTGCAATAATGAATAAAATATTCTAATCTATTCTTAAAATTTTTAGCATCATTGAGATATATTGATAATCACTATCTGATATAGTTTCTTGAGTTAATGCTGAATAAAATGAATCTTTCGTGAATGGTTCCTCTTTATATAATTCTTCTTCGTAATTTTCCCATGTGATGAATTGATAAGGGAAAAAGGATTTAACGCGTGATTTATTGTTTCCGAAATCTTGAGTGAATTGGTCTAATGTCCCACCCGCTATATAATTTCTGATGTCAATAAATCTCAATTCATATGGAACGTTTGTTTTCTTTACAATGATTTGCTTAAATTGTGAAGATGAACCCAGCATTGATTTTATTTTCCATTTTGCAGTGTTTAAATCACGAAGAATTAAATTTTAAATCAAACTTTCCCGAATTAAAACCTATGATATTCACTTTATTGAATTCCTCATCTAGAAGTTCTTTAAATGCTTCCTTCTGTTTTTCATTTAATGTATGAGACAAAGTCCCCGCCGTTTGCGACTTCAATAATTCTTCATATTGTTCAATATTTGATTCAACAACTAATGAACAGGTTGAAAATAAAAACTCAATCCAATCAGAAATAAAAGAATCACTCGAAGTTAAGCAAAAATTCCTCGTATATGTTTTATCATTTAATTTAACCGTTGATGATACCATGAATGGTTTTAAGTAAGCGTTCAAAGTTGCACACTCAGAAAGTTGTAATTCTTCTTTAGTCTCTAATGTTCGAAGTCAAAAGTAATATAATATCTTGTCGGTTTATAATATTTCTGCAAATTGTGAGCTAATAACCACTGATATATCTTCTGTTTCGTAATATGTGGTGCATATGGTTGCTGGGTCTTTTGCAATTGAACGTCTTGAATTAATCTTCCATTATTTTCTTTACATTTCTCACAATGCTTTAAAAATCTTCTTTGGTTTTTCCTTTCTGGGTCATCACGGATAGAATAAACTTCTTCTTTACAATATGGACAAACTTTATAGCCGGTGAGTGCTTCAACGTCTGTTATTCTGTCAGCGTGAAGTTTTCCACATGGACTCTGTGTTAATAAAATATTTATTGTTTCAAATTCTGGATCTATCATTATTGAATCCACTAATGGAAAGTCTACCTTATTTATGTCCACGTCTTCTGGTTGAGGATCACAAAATAGAAATCAATATTAACATTTAACATTCTCGCTAATCTCTCACTTTCTGATGAAATGTCAAACCCTTCATATGCATCTATTGCTTCATTTAAATAGCTTCTACGAGTTTTAGGATTAACACCATCAGGAATGTTATAGAAGCGTTTAAATAACCTTCTACCTTCTGCTCTAATTTGATTATCATTCATTTTAGCTGTTCCGTTTTTGTTCATTTATGTAAGAATAAAAAATTAAAAAATAAATAAAAATAAAGTTTATTTTTTAAAGCCCATAAAATGAATTAAGAACACATAAATTTTTATCATCTGCGACGTGACGAATACATTTTAATTTACTCAAGAATGCGTACCCTGATACATTAAATCTAATTCCTGTCTTATTTAATTTCACAACTTTGAAAAGGAATGTATGAATAGCTATAAAATGATGAGAAGATGTTTTATGGGTTGCTTCCATTTTTTCTGAAATAAATGAATAAATATAATGTTTATAAGTTTTCATATCTTTTATGTTCTTAATAACGAATGGTATAGACCTTTCCACTTCATCTTCCTTCGGTGCTGTTCTTTCATATGAAACATTATTGGTATCTTCAATAATGAAACCACAATCACACAAAATTTTATATGTTCCAATGGTTTCTTTTGATATTTTATCTAATAAATCAAAAACTTTATCAACACCTGTGCATTTATTTAAATAATAATTTGTGTAAATATCATGATCTTCTTTCTTAATCGTATTAGTTGCATATGTCACGTTTTTAAGAGCTTTTTTGAATTTCTCAGAATCGAGAGGGGGTGAAAGTAAGATACAAGGGTATTTTTCATTATCAATAAATTGTAACTTATGTTTACGAATAAATTTAGTACCTTCTTCTGAAAGTGTTTCGTCTATTTCACCATCTAATAAATTTTGTGTTGATTCTGAGACATAATTTTTATATCTTTCTTCATGAGATTTCTGAACTGTTGATTCTGAAGCTGGGATATTCATTAAACCCTCTACTTCATTTTCATTATATTTTTCAACTTCTCTAATTCCTTAATTTTTTCATCTATTTCATCTCTTATTTTTTTCAGTCTTTCAATTTCATTGTATTCATCATCATCTTTAATCCGTTCTTCATAATATTCAGGGAAAACATCAGGTTCTTTAGGTTTTTCTTCTTCAGATGTGGGATATAAGAAATTTATAACATCATCTTTATTCATTTTTCCATCATAATCTAAATCATTTAATAACTCCGCGAATTTTTTACAATTTCTTAAATAATATTTATCAACTTCATAACCCGCCTCCTCTAATATATCCTTTATTTCCTCGTTTGTGAATCCTAATTTTTTAACGTTGTTAGTTTTGACGCTCATTTCATACAAAATAAAAAATAAAATAATAAACATAACTAAGTTTTAATTTTTCGTAAGAAGTTTATTTTTTATTCATGAAAATAATTATTTCTAATTTCTTTTACTCTCTCGTACATACTAGATTTGAAGAATTCAGAACTTTTACCATAATCTCCTAAATGTTTTCTTATCCCTAACGTGTGCCAGTTATTATATGAAACTGAATAAACTTTATCTTTATCTTTGCATCTTTCATCACTTCCAATATATTTATATCTCAGTTTTGATTTATTGGTTTCATATTCATTAACGTTTAATAATTCACAGTCTTCCTTTTTAAATAAATGTTTTATGTATTCAGGATTAACAATTCTATAATATTGCTTCCCTTTAAATCTTTGAATATAAACAGGAACACCATCCTCTAAAATTCGATAATCTATTTTATCTGGTTTTACTTGTTGGGTCATTTATGTAAGAATAAAAAAATAACTTTAATTTAAAATTAATATGTTAAAAAAATGATACAAAATCGCTCGATATTGTATGAATTCTTACGTTTACAAAAAAAGTCACACACCCCGCCCTATCCTACTACTAAGTCATCATGATAATTTGCTCGAATTTTTCAGCCAAAAAGATTATTTTAATATAGAAGATATTGAAGATAATGTAATTATTTCATCTCAAAATTTGAAAGCATTTTTCTTAAAGTTCTATTCAAATAAATGCTCTGCCATTCCATTATTTGCAGCATTTCCTCCTATAGCGGATTTATTCAAGATAGAATTTATGAATTTCAAATTTAGCTCCTATGAAATTAATGAGATCTTTTGTAATGCGGCAAAATATAATAACATAGAAATTGCTAAATTTCTTATTTCGCATGGTGTGGATATCAATTTCATTTTGAGTGTAATCAAACATAAATTGATACAGCTCTCTTTCTTTTAATGCAATTCATTATTATATGAAATTCTTTTTCTTGAAATAACATTCATGGTTAAATTATATATTTTTTATTTTAATATATCAATCATAGTCAAATGATGTTCCTTAGTTTTAAAGAACAATCATTGTTTTTTGGAATTTTCTTTCTTTAAAGAACAATCATTGTTTTTTGGAACTTTCTTTCTTTAAATATCAATAGTTGTTTTATAGAATCAAATTTCTTTAAATATCAATAGTTGTTTTATAGAATCAAATTTCTTTAAATATCAATCATCGTTTTATGAAATCACTTTTCTATTTCCGAATCTCCACTTAGCTTAGCAATTAAAGAAAGATCAACTTTGATAATTAATTTGTTAACTGAGAATGGTGCTGATGTAAATATTAAACTCATTCTCTTTCTTTCAATATTAATCATTATCATGTAATATCCTCTCTTTTTGAATAATATTCATTATTTTATACTATTGACTTTCTGGTCATATCAATCATTGTTTCATATATTCATATTGCATTTATTATCTAACACTAATTCATAAAATTCCCTTTTATGTTTTGTCATACTAAAATATATGAAATTCTGATTTTCTTTATATCAAACATAGCTTTTTGGATTTCTTTTTCATTAAATATCAATCATTTTTATAAAATATTCCATTTCTATGAATATCATCCATTTCTTGATTTCATTCTTCATCTTATAATGTCAATCATTGCTTTATACATTCGCATTTCATCTATAATCAAACATCGATTTATGAAATTCTCTTTCTTTAAATATCAACCATTATTAGAGGATATTCTCCTTGCTTGTGTATCAATCATTGTTTCAAGAAATTCCATTTTTTCTATTGTCAGTCTTTATATTATTACATTCTCTTTCCTTTATTATCAATCATCATTATGATGAAATTATGGTTCTATTAAGGAATGTCCACTCATTATCGCAATTCAGGAAAAATCAATTGATATTGTCCGTTTATTAATTGAGAATGGCGCCGATGTAAATATTATTCTCATTTTCTTTCTTTAAATATCAGGCATTATTTTATATAATTATATTTTTTTGAAAATCATTCATTGTTTGAATGTATATTCTTTCATTTCATATCAATCATTGTTTTATGTATTCATCTTTCTTTTATAATCAAATATTATATCATCACATTCGCTTTCTTTTCTTATCCATCATTATTTTATCACATCCTCATTCTGTTTTTATCAATCATAGTTTTATGAAATTCCCTCTATTATAATGTCAATCATTGTTATTCGCTGTTCATTTTCTTTAAATATCATTCATCGTTCTATGATATTTTCATTCCTTTCATATCAATCATGGGGTCATGAAATTCTTTATCTTTAAATATTAAATATAACTTTGTAAACTCTTCTTTCTTTTAAAATTGTTCATTGTTTCATGATGTTCTCTTTCGCTTGGTTTCTATCTTTATTAATTAAAGTTCTCATTCTTTTGATTTCTGTAATTGTTCTATAATATTCACATACTTTAAATATCAACCATAACATTATTACATTTTATTTATTTTACTATCATTCATCTTTATATATAATCATGTTTCAAATTATGAATGTCCACTCAGTATCGCAAATAAGACAGATTCAAATGATATTATCAATTTGTTAATTGATAATGGTGCTGATATAAATATTGAACACATTCTCTTTCTTTAAATATCAATCATTGTTGAATGAAATCATCTTTCTTTAAATATCAAACATTGTTTTATTGAACACTATTGATTAAAATCATCACTGAATTGAACATGGAAATGATATTAATATGTATTTCTAGCTCTTATTTCTTGGACATTCGTCACTAAAATGACTTTTTTTTCAAAACTTTATACTTCAAAACTTTAAATGTATTTTCCGCCAGAAAACACTCAAATATTCCTAAATTCATTCAAATATGCTCAGTAAAATATTGAAAATGAAATTTTATAATTAATTACCCATTGAATTTCTCGACCAGTGTTAATATTAAATAAGAAATAATGCGCATTTGATTAAAATGATTAAAATTTTGAGCTTAATTATAATCACTTATGATTCCTTCTCTCTGGAATATGACTTCTAATATGTCATGGCAGTTCATCTGGAATTCTTTCAGTCTGAGAATCTCATCTTCTAATAACTTATATTCTAAAGCTAAATCTTTTCCATCTGAAACAATGTGAGGTCTATTCTCTACGGAAATATGAAGCATTGTCCATAAATCATTAACTTCTTCTCTTCTTCCTTCAATCAATTGTAACTCTCTCTTCCCTCAGTTATCGTTTCAATTTGAAAATATACGTAGGAATTTAAAAATTGTTTCGCCAAATGGCGACTTACTGAAATTTGCTAACTCAGCCATATTTTTTTGAAATAGGCAAACTCAAAAAGTGGCATAACGAAAATTCTGTAAAATAAAAATATCAGAGACCATTTCATATAGTTTCGAAATTGAAAAATGGCAAATTCACCAAAAAAATTGAAGTGGCAAAATTCGCCACTTGGCGAACTTTTTTTAAATCCCTAATATACGAAAAGGGGAAAAAACTTTGACAATTACAGACTATCATGAAAAAATTAAAAGTTCTGAAAATTTGAATGATGGCAAACAATTTAAAAAATTCGTCAAAAAATTTAATGTTTTCAAGAGATCACTACCTTATTAATTCATGCGAAGAACGAAATCTCAAACTTATTAAATCGCTTACAGAGAGTGGTAATTATAAACAAGAAAAATCTTTCAGTTTGCATCTAATTTCAGCATCATCTAAAGGTCATCTTGAAGTTGTTAAATATCTTATATCTATTGGAGCTGATAAAGAAGCAAAGGATAATTATGGATGCACTCCACTCATTATAGCATCAGAAAATGGTCATCTTGAAGTTGTTGAATATCTTATCTCTATTGGAGCTGATAAGGAAGCAAAGGATATTTATGGATGTACTCCACTCATGTGTGCATCAGAAAATGGTCATCTTGAAGTTGTTGAATATCTTATCTCTGTTGGAGCTGATAAAGAATCAAGGAGTAAGCTTGGATACACTCCACTCATTTGTGCATCACAAAATGGTCATCTTGAAGTTGTTGAATATCTTATCTCTATTGGAGCTGATAAGGAAGCAAAGGATATTTATGGATGTACTCCACTCATGTGTGCATCAGAAAATGGTTATCTTGATGTTGTTGAATATCTTATCTCTATTGGAGCTGATAAAGAAGAAAGGACCAATGATGGAAAGACTGTTTGTGATGTCGCAAATAGTTCTGTTAAAAAATACTTTTTGTGTAACAAAACTGAATAGAGAAATATTATAGGCAATAATAAAATATTCAAAAATAATATTGGCACTAATTTTTAACTAGGTAATTAAAACAATAATGAGAACAATCAAGTTTGTCAGTGATTCGGAAATGTACATATGATATATCTCAACTTTTCCAAATTTTTAAGGGCGTCCTATCTTAGTTAACAACTATTCAATTTTTAATACTTAAAGCTACTTTTTCTCTATGATAGAATTGATATTTTTATGAATACACGTAAATATAGCATGCATTGATCATACACACTCTTTTCCCTGTTTCAAAATTTAAAAAAGAATATCTAGAATAAGACTCAGAGTGCAAATAAGGTGTATTTTTGATAAAAATTCTGAACAAAAACTATCAAAATTAATAGAAGGATTATTATTTTCGTCTGGAAAAGTGACAAAATAATCATTATCGTCTGACAACAATTCTTAATTAAATGTTAAGTACTTTCTCTGTATTGAAGTTTGAGCATAAACTGTGTTAAATTTAGGAATATGACTTATTTATTGTTGAATTTCTCAACCAGTGTTAATATTAAATAAGAAATAATACGCATTTGATTAAAATTTATATTTAAAAAACACAAAAAACAGAAAATAAATTATTCAATTAGACTCTAAATCTTTGGGATGAAGCAGATTTGATCACAGGACTTTCTTTATGTACTATTTGGTGTCTAGGAGATTTCGGAAGAGAAGCTGCTTTCTCCTCAACATCCTCGCTATTACAAGGTATATTTTCCCTGTCTTTCCTTTGAGATTTTGATTTTGATGAATCTTCTTGTTGATCAAGTTTTTCTATGTATGGAATACCGTCCCATTCGAAGTGTTTCTTATTCTTCTTATAGTAATCAATTAAAAGAGATCTGAGTTTCTTATTTACTTTAGGAAGAATAATTGCATATCTACGCCTAGCTTTCTCTTCATTAATTAATTGCTTGGCCATACCTTTTCCACGTGATAATAATCTGCTTGGATCATTTTCTACATTTTGAGCGTAATTATAATCACTTATGATTCCTTCTCTCTGGAATATGACTTCTAATATGTCATGGCAGTTCATCTGGAATTCTTTCAGTCTGAGAATCTCATCTTCTAATAACTTATATTCTAAAGCTAAATCTTTTCCATCTGAAACAATGTGAGGTCTGTTCTCTACGGAAATATGAAGCATTGTCCATAAATCATTAACTTCTTCTCTTCTTCCTTCAATCAATTTAGGTAATAATTTGTCTCTTTCCTCAGTTAGCTTTTCAATTTCCTGCTGCATAGCATCAAGAGTATTGTTGTTGATATTTGTATAGCCAGCAAGAAATCCTTCTCTCTGTTCCTTCTTAACACCTAAAATGTCCCAAAGATGTATCATCACCATAGCTTTTGATGATAAATCTGATACTCTACGACTCTTTTCTGCATTGACACGCTTTTCTAATTCGCTGAGCGCTTTGATATAAGAATCATGAACAGATTTAGAATCAAGTAGCTTAAGATCATCATCTTTATAATCAGTCATTTCTGTTGTAATAATCTTGTTAATTCTTGATTTAATTTGATCGATTTGTGCGGTTCTAACCTTAACCTCGTTTTGTAATGATTCAACTTTTATTTTGAAGCGCTCGATGCGCTCTCTTGTAAAGTCTGTTTCACCAACATCCTGAAACTCACCACGTTTTTCGGGAGGAACTTCCAAAGCATCGAACAAATCTTTGCATACGAGTACCATGTTCTCGATTTTTTGGACTTGTTCAGTAATTTTGACTTTAAACTGTTCATATTCGAGTTTAGCAGCAGCTAATTGTTCTAATAGCTGAACGCTATTTGAAGATTTGAAGCATTCGTAAATTTCTTTTTCTGGTATTCCGTAAGCAGCCATTGCTTGTTTATGCTTTTGTTGAATTTGTGCTATGAGCATTTTAGTTTCCGCAGTTTGCTTTTGAACTTGTAATACGTATGCATTATAAATTTCGAGACATTTTTGTTGTATTGATGCCATTGCTGAAACTCGATCTTTAGCTTCAACACCTAATTGATCCCAAAGCATATCCAAATCCTGCGAAACGCGGATCTGGATAGGAGAATCACAATCCATTTTTAAAAATTTTTGGATTGTTCTGAATTTTGATAAACGTACAGTTTTTTGAATTTTTTGTGAACCTCCGAATTTCCCCTTTCTGTTATGTAAAGGTGTTAAAACATGTCATTGGCTTGAACATTCAATATACAAATGAATTCTAAACTTAAAACACTGTGAAATGAAGCAATTCAAATAGAATTTTCAATTCATTATTTCTAACCTTTAGTAAATCATTGTAAGCATCATAAAATTGCATATAAAGCAGTTTCAATGTGAATGATTATATAATTTATGATTGTTTTTAATAGAAAAAATTAAAAATATATAAAATTTCAAATCAGTTCAATTTATTCGAGTCATGGTAGCTAATAATAGTTTATTTATTCTTCTTTGCAGCACGGCGTGTCTGAATTGCGTTGTAAATTTCTTTTGTGCAATCAAATGTGAAAAATCCATCAAAATTGTTATAAAACTGATCCAAATGTAATCCTTCTTGTAAGTTTTCGTATTCTTCTGCTTGAATTAACATTTCAAGCTTATCAAGTTCTGTAACAAATTTGGCTTCTGGTGTTTTTCTTTCTTCCATCTCGAGCCATATCTTATGCATCTCATCATTACCAAGACTATCACAAATATGCTGCCATGCCTTATTTTCGCGGTTAAATTTATCTTCAAGTGTAACTCCGTCAAATGGAGTGATATCAGATACGATAGATTCAGCTAAATCATGGATTAATGCCATTTGAACTGCTTTGTCTTTATTGACTTCCTTTGGGCAGATGGTCATTGCTAAGAAAGCTGTTCTCATTGAATGATCAGCAACAGATTCTGGATCATTGACGTGATTACGAACCCATCCTGTGCGTGGAATTCTCTTAATAACTCCGCAAAGCTCAATTGCGCGATCGTATTTTGTTGACATTGTCACTTTTTCTCTCACATCCTCAAGATTTCAAATGTTCAGATTTGTTTATGCGCATTACTCAATGCATGTGATTATTGCCATCATTTCTCTTCAAAATTCCTAAGGAATGAAAGAGTTTATTGCTTATTTCATTATGATTTTCTTTATAAAGTTGTATGAATATAAATTATTGATGACATTGTGTTAACCTATGTGAGTTTTTAATGATATTATGCTTGCTTTTCACTTAATTCTTAAATTAATGCAAAATATCGAAAAAAAAACTTAAATCCTTTAAGTATTGAGCCAAGTTTATCTGACATATTCGATTCGCAATGATGTTTTATTAATGCAAATCGCAGCTGATGTATTTCATTTATTAATTAACTAAATAAGATAGAAATTCAATAAAACCTGTGAAATATCTCAAAATATAAAGTGGAGAATACGCCATTGTCTATTTAGCATGATATTCCTCATTGTCTATGTCTCATTTATTGATTAATGGTCGAAAAAAGATACCGAAAAGTCAAAGTTATGTAAAAAATCTGACAGGTATTAAAAAAAAAATAAATGATAGATTCGAAAGATGATAAGGAGCCAGGAATGTGCTCAATTTTCGAAAAAACCGGATGCTGCCCAAAAGGAGATCGTTGCAATAAAGTCCATTTCATCCCAGCAATGGCCAGAACTGTAATTTTCCATCATATTTTCCCTAACCCAGACTTTTTCATTCAGTGCTTACCAGATGGAGTTATCACAATGTCAGCCCAAGAAAAGCAGCGTTACATCGATGCATTTTTCCTTGATATGTTTTTAATGTGCAGAAGGTTTGGAGCCATCGAAGATTTGCTCTTGTGCTCAAACACGATGGATTGCCTAAGCGGAAATTTCTATGTTTTCTACGAGCAATCTGACTGTGCAAGAATGGCGCTTACAGCTTTAGATGGACAATACTACGCCGGCCGTAAAGTTCACGTTACACTCTGCAGTGTTCCTAGATACTCTACTGCTCTTTGCAAGAGCTCTATGAAAGGAGAATGTTCCAGAGGAAACGAATGTGCCTTTATCCACGCTTTAGAGCCATCGTTCGCACTCTACCAAGAAGTAATCCCAAGAATTAATAAGTTATTCCCATCAGCATTCAGAAAACCAGGTGATCCACCAGTTGTTGATAATCCAAACGAAATTATCAATGGAATTTACAGAAACAAGAACCAAATGGCCGACTTAAGCAAGTACATCCCACCTGGCTTCCCCAATCATGATCCGGCAGCATTCAAAGGAAATAATAATTAATTTTTACTATTGTTATTAATTATCCATAAATATAAATGTATACATCAGATTTATTACAACTGCACTTTTTAACTTCTCAAAATTAAAATATTTCTCATATTTTATTAAAAAAAATTTATGAATTTTCGGATTTAAATAGATTAATTTTGCTTCTTAGATTGATCAAAATCATTTGCCAATATTCCGGACAATTAGCTCAAATTTGAATCATCAATTTAAAGATAAGTTAATGCCTAACTTTTAAATGTTAATAAATGGAAGATTTGGCTTAGTAGTGATTCTCATAAGTTTGTAATGCTGCCTAAAAAGAATAATATTTTTTTCGGTTAAGATACTAACAAATTTAAAGCTTTATAATCATAAACAAAGGTTAATATAGTAAAAATATATACAATTCATTGCTTCGGTTGGCAAATTTCAATCGGAATTTCTTTTGTTAGCCATTTTCCGCTATTATTAGTTCTTATAAGTATTCTAAAGGCATAAGAAGAATTAAAATGAAGCGCTGGCTGATTAGTTGGTGGCCATAACTTCAAATACCTAATATCAAGAGTAAATGGAATGTCAAGACCTACTCTAGGACATCCATCAATAAACTGATAGTCTACAAGTACTGATTTTGCATTTTCATCTTTATACGTCTCCATTGAGATAAGTTGTAAATTAATTGATTCTATTGTATCTTGTTTTATTGAAGTTGTATTAAACAAACAGTCTATGATGCTATTATTCCAAAATACGCTTCGTTCAACAATAAATTTTGCGGTCATTTGATCTGTTGTAACAGCTAAGCGTATATCAGGTTTAGATGGTAACTCTGCGATTGGCGAGATTACTGCAATTGGTGTTGAAACATCGATATGTTTAAGTGTTTTATGTAAAGAAGCGACAATGATGTATGAATATGTGTACTTATCACCTACGAATGATGGTGATAGATCTGATGATGTTAAAAAACTGAAATCCATTGAATAAGGTGAAATGACAGTTCCTGGTTCTTTTAATTGAATGGATCCGATGAGTTTGGATTCGATAAGTTGGTTTTTCTTGTAAATGCAATGACAAAGGTTAACATAGATTCCTCTATGCTTTATTGTGGAGCCACTTTTTTCGGATTCATATTTCACTGTGCCACGAATTTGCTCTCCTGGAAAATAATATGGTGTGTCATTCCCAAATAATGCATCATATTGTGGTTTTGGCTTATAATTGATCTCAATAGATAAAGGATTTGTCGTGTTGAGTTGCAATTTTGACATATTGTTTATTTGTCAAATTTTATATTGCAGAACTTGTCAAATTCAGACTAATCAGCAAATGAATGTGATTCTATTGACCTCAAGCCAAATGAAATATACGATTACCCTAGTCATGCTTAAAAAATTATTTGTGAGTTCAATTCCAATAATATTTTTCAATCAACATTGCAAATAACTTGAAAGATACATTGCTGATAAAAAAACTCGCCATATTTGTGTCAAAAGATGATATACTTATATTAGATCACATCAAAAAGTACAGAAAAGTGATTTAAAACAAATTTGAGACTGCATGCAAAAAGCTTAATTAATTAATTTATATTTCTATTGAAGCATCTTATGTAGGGATATTAATATTTTGCACCATGTGAGAGAAGAAGTTCGGTCATTTCTTTATAATTAAAATGTGTTGCAATATGAAGAGCTGTGTTTCCATATTTAATTTTTTCATTGACATTTGCACCATGTGAAAGAAGAATGTCAACTGTCTCTTTACTATTATTACTTACTGCAATATAAAGAGCTGTTTCTTCATTTCCATCCTTTTCATTGATATCCATACCTTGTGAAAGAAGAAATTCGACTGCTTCTTTACTATTAAACCGTGCTGCTATATGAAGAGCCGTTCTTCCAATTACATCTTTAAAATTGATATATACACCCTGTAAAATGAAGTATTTGCAAAGTGGTTTGATATTAAAAATCGATGAATAAAGAAAGCAAGAGTTAACATAATTAGTTTGATCAAAATAAACTAAAAATGATTCAAGATTATTATATAGGGTGTCCAAAGGTGTGTTTAGCACAAACCTGAATACTGCGAATAGAAATAAACAAGTTACATATATATAAAGTTTATTTAAATATAATCACCATTGGATTCAATCACGCGTTCGCAGCGATCGATCCAGGCTTGAAAGACACGCTTTAAATCATCATGAGAAAATTGCTCAAATTGCTCTCTTACAAAATTTTCAAGATCATCTGGACTCGCGAATTCGCGTCCTTCAGCTCTCTTTTTTAGCGTGCCGAATAAATAAAAGTCAGAGGGTGCAATATCAGGTGAATAAATTGGGTTTGGAACAACTTTGACATTGTTTTCCACCAAGTAATTCATTACCTTATGACTTTTGTGAACTCTTGAATTATCAAAATGAATTGCAAACTTTTGTTTTTGTTGTTTGGATTTCTGAAACTCATCAGAATTGATAATTTGAGTAAGAACATTGTCAATTAGATACTGAGCATTCATCGTATTAGGTTTTTGAAGAATATCAATTGCGATGATGCCATTCACGCCCCAAAAAACCGACAACATCATCATTGGTGTGTCAATTTTTTTCTTCGGGAATGTTTGCGGATTTTCATCCTTCGGGATCCACATGATTTTGGCTTCTGTTGCATATTGAAACCAAGACTCGTCCCCTGTTACTAAAAAGCGAAACTTCTTGGATTGATACGCACCCAATATAGAGAGGAGCTCTTTCGAAGATTGGACTCTAGATTTTTTTTGAACTGAATTAAGGTTGTGCGGAACCCAACGTGTATACGCTAGTTTGTAATTCAAATAATTGTGCAGATAATAGCTGACTGTTGTACGTGGTATCTTTGTCATCTCCTCTATCCTTCTGAGTGATGCTCTTGGGTCTTCATCTAGCACTTGAAGAATTGCTTTGATTTTTCTTTGATCCGGCGATTTTTTGTCAATTTTTATGATGGGCGCCTTTTTGTTCATGAAGTGATACATCCTAACATGATACGTTACAGTGGAATAGCTAGGAGCATCCATACCGAAGCATTTTACCAATGTCTCGTAGATTTTTTACAGTCTTTGCATTTTTTTGCAAGAGCGAGGATGTTTTCTTTATGATTCATTAAAAAAATGAAAAAAAATCCCGCCAAAATTTCCCGCGAAACCGCCTCTTGTCTCAAAATTCATTTTATATCCCGGCATGGCGCCAAAATACAACATACTCATCATATACATATATTCATATTTTTTATTATATATTTATAATCAGCATATATCTCCTTTAATAGTCTCATATAGAGCGCTGTGCTAAACGCACCTTTGGACACCCTATATAATCCGCAAACAGATAAATCGATATCTATTTTGTATTCATTCATCAAAAATGTGACAAAATCAATATTGTGTGAAATAATTGCATACTCCATGCATTTAAAATTTGGTGTTTGATATTTCAAACATTCACTCATGATATCGGGATTTCCTCCTAAAAAAGAAAAATGTAAACATGTAAGAGTTATTCCTGAATTAAATTCCGTTCTCAAAAACTTGAAGCAATCAACTGCTCCATGATAACAACATAATTCAAGTAATGTACATCCTGCAAAAGATAATGGATATAAGCTACTTATAAGCTGATGTTCTTTATCAAATCCATCTCTTTGGGTGAATGTGATGAATCTTTCTAAGTCATTAAATATAATTGCCCTGTAAATTGTATTTTCTGTATGAATATCGAGATTTTCTGAGTGAATAGCAGTGAAATATTGAGACTTGTCTAAATTAATATTATATTCTTTACAAAACAGGAAGTTTGAAATAGGTTCAATATTGTTGACCTCTTTAATATGATAATCATCATAAATGAGTTTGGCAAGAGTTAAATATGGCTTTGTATAGCGATTATTATACGGAATAATATTTAAAATGGCTCTTATAACATTTCTAGGGAGATGTTTCTTTGAATCAATCAATTGTGTCTTGATCATTTTGTAAATTGAGTTTAATTCTTCTTCATTTTCTGTTTTTAACTGGTATAGTGCATTATATGAATCGATGTAGTATTTGTACTTACTTCGCAATTCACTGAAGTTATTTGGGTGAATGATTTGATCAGACATTAATAATTTTTGAAAAAGTCGCATTATACCATGTAATATATCTTTGAAATTCAATAGGGAAAAAATCATATGTTAAACATGTGGCAAATAATGAACACAAAATGACAAAGTTATATTTTATGAATGTTGATTAAGTTCAAAGATATGAATTTGCACAATAGCAATACCAAGGATGAATGCAATATGATATTTCTGTATGAATTTCGAGATTCATACATTTTCCTTCATTTTCAAAACATTATATTTATATTGAATTTAATAGTTTAAATATATATTCTTTATTCTATAACTGAGTAATTAATTGCTCCTATTCAGCGGAAACAAAGGAACTCTAAAAAATATTAAAATTCTTATCGGATATATTCTTGCTGTTAAAGCGGATAATATTTTTTCCAATGCGCATAATTGAAGTACCCTTTGTTGTTCATATTAAATCGGGTTGATATCTTGTCTTATCTTCCCGTCTTACAATCCAAATGCATTCGCCATATTTTAAGAAAGTAATATTTCATAATGGCATAGATAACATGCAATAATTTCTTTTTCAAAAATATTTTCCATATCTAGGTTTACTCATGAATCACGGATTAATGTTAATTCTAAAATTATATGGTCAAAGACCAATTTTTGAATTCTCTGGTTTCATCGTTGTTGAGCTTCATTCTGAGATTCGTTTACAAATTCCATGAATGTCAATTTTTGAAATAATAAAATTTTATGAGAATTATATTGTATACATAAGGATGTCAATTCGGAAAATTGTTTTCATTTTAGGAGAATATAATTTTCCTTTTCGAAAATTTAAAAAGTGAGACGCGCAGGATTCGAACTTTTTTAAAAGTTGATTTAAATATATTCTAGTGTGGATTCTAAGGATAATATCATATTTAAAATAAGAATATACTAGTTTAGGTGGTATAATTTTTTTCGATAAATTTGAGAGCATGCACGTTTAGGGCATCAAAAGTGTCAATTCGCTCAGCGAAAGCTGAGCTAGCTTCGTTCTCGAAAGAATAGGGAAGGAGTGAAAGAGAGTGATACAGATGTTGACACATTCATATCATTTCAACAAATTTTGATCAAATTGAAATTCAATGAAATTCAATTCACTTCATATCCTTCAGTCAGTACATTGACATCCTTCTACATTACAATGATAACTCGTGCATCAATAGTTCTACAACTAACTCAGAAAAAACAAGATTTTTCCTTCCAGCTTACAGCTTTTAAAAAGTTTCGATGATAAAAATCACTCTACTCTTGTTTATCGATATGTTGTGATAGTAGGTAAACGTATTCTTATCGATATTAATAAAAATATTTTTACGAAAATCTGAACCAATTACAGAGTTATTCATAAAGTTTATGATAACTGTAATTACTTCATCTTTGTTTTATATTTGAATAAACAATTTAATTTAATTTAATTTGCATAATTTTTTTTAGTTGAAAGACAGGAAACTTAGTTGAGTTTGTATTATTTTTATCGTTCAATTCATTGTATATGTGAGTGATCCAGATATTTAAGATATTTAGAAAAAAATTATTAATTTGATTAACAAATTTTAATCAAAATAGCAAAAATCTATTTGATAGCTGTAAGCAAATAATAATTTCTATTTCAACCAAAATCACTTATTTTCATCTAAACGTATAAAATTGTCAATTTTATGAGAATAAATTTAAAATCTCATGAAATATAAAGGAGAGTAATATTTTTCAATTTTCTTTTTTTCTTTCTCTCAAATATTTTCTATTGGGAATTTTCTTGTTATCAAAAAATAATTTTAATATTTGTTTATTTCATTACATACAATAAAATTTTAAAAAATCTATTTCTTCACAAGAAAATTTTTTTCCTTCATATGAAGAAACATTTTGTTCTCCATTTGATGCTGAGTCTAAATCTCGATTTTTGAATTTTCTTCTTTCCAAATTTCTTTTTTCCAAATTAGAAGTTTAATTCAAATTTTCAATAGTTTAGATATTTTCTCAAACCGTCTTAGATTTTCTCACTTTTTAGGGAGTAGTAGGATAGGACGGGTTTTGTGACTTTTTTTGTAAACGTAAGAATTCATACAATATTGAACGATTTTGTATCATTATTTTTAAAGTTATTTTTAAAAATAATTTATTTTTTTATTCTTACATAAATGACCCAACAAGTAAAACCAGATAAAATAGATTATCGAATTTTAGAGGATGGTGTTCCTGTTTATATTCAAAGATTTAAAGGGAAGCAATATTATAGAATTGTTAATCCTGAATATCTTAAACATCAATTTAAAAAGGAAGACTGTGAATTATTAAACGCTAATGAATATGAAAATGCTAAATCAAAACTGAGATATAAATATATTGGAAGTGATGAAAGGTGTAAAGATAAAGATAAAGTTTATTCAGTTTCATATAATGAATGGAAAACCAATAAGATAAGAAAACATTTAGGAGATTATGGGAAATGTTCTGAATTCTTTAAATCTAGTATATACGAGAGAGTAAAAGAAATTAGAAATAATTATTTTCATGAATGAAAGATTCACTACCATAATGAAATAAAAAAATAATTTTTTTATCTTTTATAAAAGAAGCTATATATAGATGATGTCAGATATTCCGCGATTAATTAAACATTGTTTAAATCCTGAATGAAATCAATGGAGTCATAATCAAAGACCTCATAAATGAG